TTCCACATTCGCAGTGGCGTTTGAATGCGATGTGGCCTATACAATGACTTGCGGGGGCCAGCCGATGTTTTTATCCTCCCAGACAAGTCTGGTACCAATTAACCGACCCCGGAGGGATGGAAGGCTTGGTTGGCCCGGGCGACTCACGACCCAGGATTTGATCCCCGGACCGCTCGCGTGGTAAGCGTGCCACTTGCCACTACACCACTTCCGCCCCACACATAGGTTAATAAACAAAATCGAATAAAACAATAAAAAACGACAAGCCATCGAATGTTCTTGAATGTCTTCTCCGTGCTCTCCCTAGGTTTGGTGGAATTCAGAACAGATGCAGCGGCTTTTGAAATCGAGCTCAGCTTGTACTCTTGTAGCATAAACAATCTTTTTGCTCACGTGTAAGCTCCAAAGTGAAGCAAATACACAAGTGTTGTACATCAAAATGTACAAGAGATTGCGCGCTTTTGGACTACATCATAACCTTTGAAAATAATCAGCAAAAAATCAAAGAGCCATGAGCCTGGGAAGAGCGGCGGATAATTTCCGCTCAACCTATAGCTATGTCTTGTACACCAATTATGTAGCTCTTCCCAAAGACACGATCACGCCTAGATATGTGAGGTGCTCCAATTCGTGCGGAAAAAGGAACCATTTCTGTATGTCACGAGCGTTTCAGGCAACATGCAAAAATAAATTCGGAATTTTTAAACGATTCCCTTGGATGCGCAACGTCGCATTCGTTCGAATCAGGCCGAGAGCCCGAAATGGAAATGAAATTGAAATCGGCAAAAAGGTCAAAATAAGCTAGGCTTTCATGGAAAGGTCAAGATAAAAATAGTATTTAAGTAAACTGAATGGGTTTCGGATGAAGTATTGTAAAAGGGTGATAAGAAGTGAGAAGAGTGAGTAGCTTTCAGAAGAGGTTTAGTTCGATGTACCTGACTGCGGCATGGAAAAATTATGCTAATAGGAGCCGCCCGCAAAACAGCATCTGCTTTGACGTAGTGGAATTCGTTGGAATTATGGAGAACTTTCCAGCAAATCGTTTCTCATGTACAGAATTGGGTGCCTTCCCATTTCTCTGAAGTCCACTTATTTCAGAACTTCTAGTGCAACGGTTTTGCAGAAGTGTCGCTTTGAGAATGCTTACAAATATGCGGTATTCTGCAAGGCCGTGCTGGGCAAAACGGAAAGTTACGCGTCAAAGAAGGCAAAAGATGAAAGCCGTTTCCTTTTCTAGCCAAACTTTCCTTCATCTCAATGCCGTAGGGCACGGAAAGCGACAAAATTGCTGGAAAATGAAGGTTTTGATGTTATCTTTCCATTTTTGGCTTCTTTGAAAACGCCACGGATTCGACATCGTTTCAGATCTCTCGTGGCATTGGCGATTGTGAGGCGATTGATGTGGCTCGGCTTACACAATAAACCACGGACCAGCCGGCGTAGAAACTAGTGTTAAGTCTCATCCAGAGGTATCTGGTGTCGACTAATCGCTCCAAGAATAGAAGAGCTTAGTGATTCCAGAGGGGGTTCGTTCCACAACTTACCTTTCGGACCATATGTGTGAGGGCAGACCCTCTCGTGAAATTGTACGGCCAGTTGTGGCGCAGAAGAGCCCGAAGCAGAGCGACCTGGAAGATGTGCGACCTGCGTTTCTGGCGTGCCCGGGACGAATAGCGGTCGAGAAACAAGTGTAAGAACTGGCTTCTTCCTTCCAGTGTTGTGGAGTTCCACTGCAACCCTTCAACCTTGTGCATCCTTCATCCAAATTAATGAGTTTTCCAGCAATGAAGAACTTTCATTCTATTTATTCGTTATACGCTGCGCACTTGTACCGGAAGATATATAGGGCATAAATATTGAATGCTTCAGTTCGAGAGATCTTTTTGTTCCATAACTTGTCGATTTTTTTTGATTGGAAACAAACACTTTTGAAGTTCATAACAGCGCAGGCAAATTTTTCAATCAATCAATGAAAACAATGAGAGTGGTACTCCTGGGAACTCGCTCCGCGACCTCTCCTGAATTCATTTCATATGCGGCGCGAGAGAGAAAAAAGCCGCTTTCCTCATGCCCCAATGAATCACCCAAACACAGTTATACTAAGTACACGGCCTTTTCTGCACTTTACCAACCGAGCTTTCTTGCCAATGACCGTTTTGGAATGAATTGGGAATGAAAAAGCCTCTGTATCATCCCCTCAATTAGGGATCATAGGAAATGAGGCCAATCATAGCAAATGCGTTGGCGATGAGTCGCAATATCCGTTGGTGAATGGCTGCTAGATGGGAGTAGTGGCTATCGTCCTTTGAAACAAGAAGGAATGGTTTACCAGCTCTACTCCTCAGCAACTAAAGTGTTGCTCGACCTTTACCAGCAACCTATTCCTCGAATTCGGATTATTTGAAGAAACACCTGGGTGAGATTCTATCGAACACACGAATGGAGTCTTATCCATCATAGGAGAAATAAGCCTCGAATTACTTCGTGAGGCACAGAATATCTGCAAGAACAAAAACATCGATTTGAATACTGCAGCGGCCTAATCTTACTGCACCTCCGACAAAAGGTAAATACATATTCCGTCGGGGAAGGCTTTACGAATGGGTCGAATCGGATTTTTGAAAAGGCGATCGTCTATCGTGGCAAGACACTTTGTTTTTGGGAAACATGGTGAGACATTTGACAAGTCGTGGAAGATCTTTGTGCAATGTAAGAAGGGTCGAAAACTTCGCAATTTCTGCCGCTAAAGCCAGTTTAGTTCCACCCCCGACACGTCTGTTTTTATTAATGAAGCCTGAAGTACATAAACATCGAGCAACCATGAAGGCCTCTTGTCTTCTGTGAACTCTCTCCAGTCGCGGTAATCCTACCGGTTTCCAAATCTTCATACCTGACTTTCTATTGACCCAAGTTCCAGTTGTGGATCTTCGCGACCTAATGGGCTCATGGCACTTTTTCAAAGATATTAACACATTCACGCCGATGGCAGCCCATATGGGCTGCCAACTGATAATCGCTTGCCAGGCGCTAGGAATGGACAGATAGGTGGGCAAACCTCGTAATCGAGTGTAAAATGCTTTTAAATTCCTTCACGGGGAAAGTGAATAAATGCTCTCTTTTCGTAACCACTATTTGTCGTTCTGATCGAAATCCTACTGTTATATGTTTAGATAATCTTTACGCATTGGACATTGCAGAAATTATTTTGTGACATTCATGTTTTTGTTCATTTACAAAACAAAATCTGCGGTTATGTGGTGAGGCGGCGGCGCCCACAAAATCGCGTCCGTCCCACGCGACCGAAAAGTGGAAAAGGGGCGTCGTCGTGAATGTGTTAAAAGCGTTTTTGCGTTTCCATTCCCATGTTGCAAGAAGTTTTGAAGAAATTGGACGTTCTAGAATTACTTGCTGGTTCAAACGTGAACTAAAAGTATCTCTAACATGATACAATACATGTTCAAGAGATTAGACCTTACTATTGAAATGTGGTAGAAACACTCACGGTGACTCCTCCAAAAAGCAGGCTTTTTTTGTGAATAACTACAAGCTGAACTGTGTGACACTAAATATAGATGGATGGTTTTTGACAAATAGAAATCAAGGAAATGTGAAGTGAACTGAGAAACATGAGTGCTGGCCAAATATTGAGCGCATTTCCTGAAGAAGAGTCGTTAGTGCAAATGGTCGCCTCAAGAGGCTAGTGTTTTCCCACGAAGTGTAACTGGACACCTACCTAGCCTGGTGTTTCTGCCGACGCCTACAGCCGTTTCTTCCATGCGAGGACAAAATCATTTCTGGAGCCTTTCCAAATTCACAAAAATAGGTGACGTTTTGGATTTCCTTCACCACTAGCTCTTACTAGCGGAACACATATGGCTCACCATAATCTCACGAAATTACATAATTCCCCATTAATATTGAACAACATTCTAGACATTTCTTATCTGAAGCTACGGATTTCAATTTTGAAGGTACCTGCATGGGGTCCTGATGATGTCAATGAAATAAAAAAGAAAATATTCCGCTAACAGAAACCAAAACCCTATCTTGTCTGGGCAGGGGCCTCATCTTGCAGTAGTTCATCACCGCTGGCTGTTGAAAATGGAACATAAGCACATATTGAGGCCTAGCCATCGTGGAGGGCTAGCATTCCTTTCAATAAGACGTAGCCTCAACATCGGGCAAGAACTGTTCAGGGCTAGCGCCATGGCGCTCCTTCTGATTCCACATTCTCAAACGAATGACTCTAATACCTCTTAATTTCAACGTGCTAGACCATCCTATCTGGGCTGTACTAGGGAAAGAAGCTCCTCTATGTGGATGCACTAAACAATTCATCTACAAAGAGGAGCTTTTTTCCCTAGTTCAGCCCAGATAGCCACATAGAGGAGCTGAAGCCTCATTCTTTGCAAGGTTTAGAAAAGAACACCGGAGGATTCCATGCGAGTCTAAGTGGAGTTGTGTTCGAAGCAACTGGAAGCTATAGTAGCCACAGGAAGAAACGTTCAATGCCAATTCTTTCGATATTCAAATGCCTGGCGGAAGTTTGTAGGTGACCATCTGCAGATAGGCCCAATCCCAAAGAAACTGAAAGTCGAACACGTGATCAATGTCTATCAGACACCTTGCACTTGTGAGAGAGACGTCATTTGAAGGCTGAATTGCACTCCAATAGAAACTCCAGACCTCTTTCTCCAATCATATGAACGGACCTTTTGCGAAATAACTTTTTACGAGCAGTACACGCTTACCTATGACCTATGCTACGACTTGTCTCTATGAAGTGAACGATCAAGGTACATACAGGGGGGGGGGCAAAAAAAAAGAGTCACTCCTACTCACATTCAAAACAGAATTAATTACACTTTGCCAAAACCAAACCGAATGAGCTCAATTGCATATTGAAGAGCACATTCTATTCTATTTATTGAGATCACCAGGTAGGTAAAACTCGTACAAACCAGCATAGTGAATAAGTCACGCAAAATTACCGTACTACAGCTGCGTCAACAACATTCGAATGCATACGAAACCTGTCAACTTGAAAAAGGCAACGATCGCGAACGAAGTTTCTGTTATTCTACCAGCACAACACCATTACATATCCATTTCAAAAAATGAAATGCTAAGTTCCAATCCAGGCCACCACTTAGAACAACAGCACGATTCACGTTTCCATAGCATTAGAGCTAGTACTGTTCAAATAGATGTCCATAAACGCGACGACAAATGCCTCGAGGTGAATTATGGCTTTTTGACCCCTTGTGAGCCTATGTTCATAGAGAGCAGCCATCTCAATCACTTCTCGTTTAGCTGACGGTGGACAGCGTTTCAGCAACTCTCGAAGTAGGTACAAAAATATCAAATTTGGTTGTATGCAACGGGAGATCAACTCATACAAATGTTCTCGAACTGCAAGAATATTCTCATTGTTTTGCTTCTTGATCATCAACTCTGCCGTTTCACGCAGGTAGATTTCCCATTCAGGCTCTGGTACCTGTTCGGTTTCTTTAATAGGTACTCCCTTTCTCTTCACCGCTTCCATCGACAGCAGTGCACGTCGCAGATTTCCTCGTGATTTTGCCACTATTTGAACCATAACAGGATCTGGTACTGTTAGCCTTACTCTTTCTGCGACACTATTCTATCAAAAACATTACATAGTGGCCTTCTACACCGACGACATCAGAAGATTTTCCCACGGAAACATGGTTCACGGTACGAGCTCAACGAGGTCGTCGAGAAACCATAGACGATTACGACGTCTCTGAAACGCTGGTCAAAAGCCATCTTGCATAGTCAGAGCTAGTGTCTCTAAGAAGCTATTCACCAGTTATCCGATTGAAGAAATTATGTAGCAGCTTCAGAATGGAGCGATTATGGTAGGCCTCCTTGAGCTCGACGGTGATGACAGATGACGTCATATTCTGGAGACGGTGAAGGCAGCGAAGGTGGGCCTGATTCTGCTTATGGGGGACATCTAAGGAAATTTGCCGTATAACTCCCAATAACAGCGGCATCCTTTGCGACGAAAAGTTTGATGATATGCGCCATAGGCAAAGTGACTCTTTTTTTTGCCCCCCCCCTGTATACTACATCACATCACGCAGGTAATGCATAGCTCTCTCCATTACGCCTGTCAATTTAACCCTATAACAACACTCGACTGTTTCTATGGCCGTCGAGAAAACATGCGCAACTCAACCGATTCCCCGAGTCTCCGCATCTGATGCTGAGCTGCACCAGTTAGTGATTATATTATTCCAATAATGAAGGGTGATCATGGTGTTGATGACCGTCTTTCTTAAAATGTCGACATTTTTCATATGTGTATTTGTTAATGCTGCGGGTCTCATAGGTTTGTTATGGTGGAATATTTGTTACGCCTGACGTTTCGACAATTTCTTCACTTTCAAAGGCCTAAAAGCATATCGAAACTCTTGCATTGTTCCCATCCTGCTCACTGCAGACTCCTACCGAACAACTCACTCCTGTCAACGTGACCGTTCTTCGGTTCTATTGTACATCTTATATATTACATATATTGTTGTGAAATCTTTTGGAAGCTTTCCAAGATGCCCTACAACTTAGCACACAAGTTCGCCTATCCAACAGGCCAGCCACCTCGTTTGCTTGTTCACTTTCTTTAGCTAGTTTTCCAAATTTCTTTGGAACCTACTTCTGAGCCTCTTTCTTCATGACTTCAGATTAGGATCTTCCACGCGCCAGACTAAATGAAGGATTAACCAAAAGACAGTTGAGTGCACGCTCTCTCTTTTCAAGATGCTTTGGTGGCTAACTCTCTACTCAGGGGTACCCCCGTTTACTCGAAGATGAACCACACTCCAACCACCCCGTGACTGCCAATCTCGATGATCTATCCGGCGCCAATGAAAAGGCATCGAACAAGAGTGAGCGCTATATCAGATGGCTTTTGAAGTGACAAGGTGAAAGTACTCAAACATATCGATAAAGTCGCCAACTTTCGGAAGTATAGAGTTCGTATCTCACATGATCAGCTCCTCGGGCTGGGCTAGGGTAAAAAGCTCGTCTATGTGGATGCATTGTTTAGTGCTTCGACATAGAGGAGCTTTTTCCCCTGGTACAGCTTACATGGGACAGTCCACCACGTTGAAATCAAGAGGTAGGAAAGTCATTCATTTGAGTATGTGGAATCAGGAAGAGTGCCATGGCGCTAGTCTTGATCAATTCTTGCATCTATGTTGTGGCTCAAATCAAATCAAAGTTGCACGCTCACCATGCGAGCGGTCCGGGAATCAAATCCTGGGTCGTGAGCAGGGTGAATATCGGTCGAGGAAATCCTCGACAGGGGGGTCGTACCTGTTGGGCTGGTCCATGGGGGTCAGTAACAGAAGTGGTATCATGGTGCAGATAGGTAATAGGGTATAGCGCAGCAGAAAATGAAAACATCTGAAAAAAAACATGATATTAAATTTTCTTTGCAGGTTCAGTCGCTCCATTCCTCCACCTTCATGAGAAGGGCGTATTTGAAGGCAGTACAAAGAATGAAAGTGCATCCCCGCAAAGAAGACTGCCACATGTGCGCACGCGCTGCAAAGGCACCTCCTCCGCCTATCGCTCGCTCCTTCTCCCTTAATACCTCGCTGAGAATGACGCTGTTGTTAGGGACCCTGTCGGAAAAACGACAACCGTGAAGAAAAAGCGCTGGGCAAATGAAGTTGTTTTTTAGGTTACAGGAATAGCACAACACACTATGTCTACTACAATACAGTTTCGTTCGAAGGTCCCCATCATATAACACCTTTCAATCGATTCTGCAACTGTGAGTGGAGGAGGGATGCATGGCTTATACCAATACCAAATCGGATGATGACGATTGCTCCTATTCTTATTGTTTGCGTTCAAAGATATTGTTCTAGACACATTCCGAGTGTTGCCAACGAGTCACACTTGCAATGGTGAATGAGGGAGCGGATTTCCAGGTGGCCGGATCCGTCCTCGATAGATCCTCGACGCAATTATCTCTTCAACCAAAAAGCTGTAGAAGAAAACTAAACAGACCATCAGGAAGCGCAAACCTTCCGCTTTCCAAAACTATCTTCCCTTTTTCAGGATCTTACAATATAAGAGAGATATTGCTCTTGAAGTGGCAAAAACTCGCGTGAAAATTTCAGCCTCCTCGACATTTACTCGACGAAATTTGAGAGACCCTATCTTTCTGCATGGAAGGCTTCCAGAGCAATTTCAATACTTGTTGGAAACGCGAAATCCAGCTCTATCTAACTCTACCTCAAGCTGCTTCAAAGGTTGTGAAATGGAGGAATGCAACCTTTTCATCGAGGGTGTAGATTCGGACGTTTTTTTTTGAAATTTCGGCAAATCTGACCCAGTGACAATCGCGCCGCAGCTGCCGTTGAATCGGCCTTTGATACACTCGGCTGTTTTGATATACTCAAGCAAGAATCAAGATTGAATCGCAACCCCGTGTCTTCAGGATTTCTGTGCGTTTCTGAACGAACCTCGCCTTGAGGTCACACAAAGTTAATGCCTCTTTCCTCGAGTCGATATTTCAGTATGTACACAAAAGTATGCAGCGATGGAAGACGTGCATAGATGACAAGATGAAGCGTCCTTAGCATTATTTTGCAGAATTTTTTTTGATTTGTTTTGCAGGATTTATTTTAATTGAATTAATTTGCTCTGTTAGAGGGGGTCGTGCCAGGATCTCGATTTCGGGGGGGGGGTCGTACCTCTGCGACCACGTACTCGACACGATTTTCACCCTGGTCGTGAGTCGCCCGGGCCAACCAAGCCTTCCATCCCTCCGGGGTCGGTTAATTGGTACCAGACTTGTCTGGGAGGATAAAAACACTGACTTGTACATCGGCTGGCCCCCGCAAGTCATTGTATAGGCCACATCGCATTCAAACGCCACTACGAATGTACAAATGGAAGTAGAATGCGTGCCGCATCCCAAAAAGGGATTGATCAACGGCAAATGCTTTATCCTTTATGCTCTAAGCCCGATCAGCTCTAAACCCGATCTGACATCATCATTTTCCTGTTGGTTTCCCATAGTTCCTTCGAATGACCATCCATCATACTCACGGTGATGTGGACTGGGTGCAGTGTGCTAACAAATCCACAAGCCGCAGTAGCTTAGCTCAAACGATTCGGGAGTTCTGACAGCAAAACCCAACTCCCTCTGAATTCTGACTTCCTGAGTCGTTGGCGGAATGAAAGAGGGGCTAGGAACCGGCACCAGCTAGTACCAGTGTCAGTATAGAAGGCAATCGTCGACAGCTTGATGGCGCCGCCTTCAAACTGGAAGAGTCATTCAAGAACAGACCAGCCACAACTTGTTCCAAACACTCTACTCTCAGGCTTCCCAACAAGTCACATTTTTCCAGACTTAGTTTTTTAACCAGAACACGGTCGAGCACCATTTCTTGAAGTCTGGCTCAGAATTTTTTTAGGGCCAAGACAATGAAAAATGTATGGTACTGGAATGTAAAGAACAAGTCGTGATCGAATTAGGAATGTATGTCTGGTTCATTGTCTCATCTTTTCGGGGGACTTTTTCAAAGTAATGGGCTCACTTTCGTGGACAGAACACCTCTTTGCGCGGGCCCAATTCACAACAAAGATAAAAACAAAACATATGAGCGAATAGAGCAGAAGAGGTGCTCACAAAAGATGCCCCACTCGGTGCAGGTCGGAAAGAAAGTCCTGCAACACTTTTACAATTTTTGATTTTAATTTTATCTTTTTTGTTTACAACTTCCTGACCGGTCTTATATCTACCATGAGTGTCCACCTTTGTCTTCAACGCTCAGAAAATTTCTTGATGCTCCTTCCCAAAACCCAGCGGAGTGCGGGTCGAGAAAGGAGGCGACCTCACTTTCGAGTTGGAGTTGATCGTCTAATTATTTCGTCATCAAGATGATGATTTAAGGTCCAGGATAGGTGGCAGTCATTTAGCTCGACCAGGGAATTACGCTAAGAGAGGTAAGAAATCTTGCCGCAGCTCCAGAATTTCTTACCGGGCTCATTTCAGACCATGGTGATTCACTTCATGAAGGAATAAGTACTGTGAGGGCTCCTGACGAGCCGCCAGTCTGGACCTTTAGCTGCACAATGGTGACTATAACCAAGAATTTGTCATTGAGTTTCCGTAAGAGCCCTTTCTGTAATGGAGTGTGCGGGACGCTGCTGGCTTCCTTATAAAATATCAAAAGATCGAAAGCGCTGGTAAAGGTGAAACACGCTGTAGCGGTGAACGACATGCCTATTGAAGCTATTGCAGATAGTGTCGGTCGTTGACACGAATCCATAGTTTTGGAGACATTTGTACTAGACAGTGACTCGGAGTACGGATTTGCTAGTGGTCGGAGTTTTTTGAGTTTTGTTAGATAACTACTGACTGCAGCACTTATATCCATACCAGCTCCACTGAGTAGGAATCAAAAATGCAGCTGCGATAGCATAGTCCACAGATGCTTTTGCGACGTGTTTTCTCTTAGATCGTTCGTTTCCCCATGTTTTGTTGTTCTGTGATCATAAAATGGAGTGGGAAGCTCGCGTTTGACCTAAGGTCGATTCGCGATTGCATATTCT